AGCCTCCCTGCTTTCTCACCCTGAGTCCTCACACTTCTGGTCTCCTCTCCGGGGCCTCTCTCTCAGTCTGTGGTCTTGTCCTCTGTGTCTCCACCTCCCATTCGTTTCAGCTTCTGTCTCCTCTTCAGTCTCCCACTTGGATGCCCCCTGCACTGGACCAGAGGGGAAAGGTGGGCAGTGTGGCTTCTTTAAATAAATATATATATATTTTTTAATTGATTTCAGAAAGGAAGGGAGAGGGAGAGATAGATGGAAACATCACTGATGTGAGAGCATCATTGATTGGCTGCCTCCTACACGTCCTCTCCTGGGGATCGAGCCCACAACCTGGGCATGTGCCCTTGACCGGAATCCAACCTGGGGCCCATCAGTCCTCAGGCCGACGCTCTAGCCACTGAGCCAAACCAGCCAGGGCCTGAGGCCTCTTTTCTCGGACCCGCACAGCCGCGAGCAAGAGCAAAATATTGTACAAGACGCCACTGTTTACCAACTTAAGCACTGGGAGATGTCAGCCTCCCTAAAAGACAGAACCCCACAGGGCCCAGGGAGGCCCGCGGGTGCCAGCAGTGAGGGCGCAGACCCCAGGCCGGTCCACCGCAGGCCAGGGCGCCTCTTGGGCTCTGTCTCCTCCCCTCCAGGGCTCTGCCGTCCATCTGTCTGTCCCCCCGCTCTGCGTGGCTTTGGCTTTCGGGACAACTGTTTCTGCTTCCTGCTCACTGACCCCTCCCCCACCCAGGGTCCCCTGTCCATCCTCTCTCCCCCCGTATTTGTATGGGTGCAGGTTTCAGCCTTTCTCTGGACTCGGGTTCCCTCTGATCATTTTTTTAAAATACATTTTTACTGATTTCAGAGAGGAAGGGAGAGGGAGGGAGAGAGAGATAGAAACATCAGTGATGAGAGACAGTCATCAATCGGCCGCCTCCTGCCTGACCCCCCTGGGGACTGAGCCCAAACCTCAGGCATGGGAATCGAACCGTGACCTCCTGATCCATAGGTTCACGCTCAACCACTGAGCCCCGCCGGCTGGGCCCTCCAGTCATTTTATCACACCCTCTCGGGTGCATGCTCTGCCTCTGTCTCCCCCGGGGCCGCTGCAGCCTCTCCATTCCAGGGCCTCTCAGGACTGGCTTTCTCTCCCTGCTCACAGGTTGCTTTGCCTTCCCATCACTGTCTCGTTTCCTCTCCTGTCTCTCAGGCTCTGTCTCTCCCCTCCCTGGACCTGAGTCTGTCTCCCCCATCTCTCTTCTCCCATCTCTCTATCTGTCTCTCCGTCTGTCTCCCCCTCCATTCTCTCTCCCCTGACTCCTCTCAGGGGCTGTCTCCATGGCGCGAATTGCCTAGCCCAGTGGTCGGCAAACCGCGGCTCCCGAGCCACATGCGGCTCTTTGGCCCCTTGAGTGTGGCTCTTCCACAAAATACCACGTGCGGGCGCGCATGTACAGTGCGATTGAAACTTCGTCGCCCATGCGAAGTCGGTTTTCGGCCTGGGCGAGTCTATTTTGAAGAAGTGGTGTTAGAAGAAGTGGGGTGGGGAGACATATAGAGAGGATGAACGAAAGGAGATGGACGAAACAAGTATACAAGACGAGTGTGGATGGGAGCGTTGGAAGGGGTCGACCTCAGCGAACGGACCTCAATCAGACTGAGGACGTTTTTAGCAAAGGCCAGCTTAGGGGACCCTAACGAAGTTAATAACAATGTACCTACCTATAGAGTTTAAGTTTAAAAAATTTGGCCCTCAAAGAAATTCCAGTCGTTGTACTGTTGACATTTGGCTCTGTTGGCTAATGCGTTTGCCCACCACTGGCCGAGCCCGTCCTCGCCTCCGGCCCCTGTTCAGCACATACTCTGCCCCTGAGGCACCGCCCGCCCCGAGGTGGCACAGGAGGAGCCTGAGCCTCTGGACCACTCGCTGGGGAGGAGTCTGCCCGGCAGCTGGTGACGTCACGCCCACCAGGCGCATCCTG